ATTTGCTAATGATTTATAAACCCTGTCGAGCTTTGTGATAAATATTGTTACTGACATTAAAATATACCTAACACCACTATTTAGGTATTATTATTGAAGAAACTTTTACTGACAAATTACATCAAGTTATTCATTTTAAAATACAGGTAATTACTTAGGTTTCAGAGACATTTGAGTGACTAATCGAGGTAAATAATAATCTTAAAAGGAAACATTTTATTATGCTATAAAAATGAAGTTCTCAATCTATTAAGTGTAACTATTATGTAATAAACATCAGAAAATCTTCTAAAAGTTCAATGACAATATTCTAAATTTTAATATTACTTCTCTCAGAACATATATCCGTTATATCAGTTAAAAACAAAGGTTATATCAGTTTAAAATCAAAGGTAATCAGTTAAAAATAAAGGAATAAGTCGATAAAATAAAATAATATAATTACATGACATGGGACTAATATAATTACATAGGACTAATAATACAATTGCTTAACAAGGGAGTAGGAATTTTATACTAAAAGTTCTCAATATAACACTTGCCATAGTACCAATTAACAACTAAGCATACAGCTAATTTATTTTTATAAGTAACCATAACACAATGATGCTATTCCTTTGGTATCAAGTGAAACAGCGAACAGTATTATTATATTTTATCCTGTTATTTTTTTAAAAAATTTATCCTGGAATATTTTGCTAACTAATTAACAAGTATAAAATACGACAGAAAACTTTACCTAGTGATAAATATCAATAATTCATTAACTCTTAAAGAACTTATTTTTAATTATTTCTGTTTACTTTAAAATAACAAATTTAAAACGTTGAATTTATATATATAAGTTCAAAATGAAGATAAAACAAAGGAAAATTATAGACACATGCAAAAGGGGGGGGGAAACAATAATGAAAAAAAATAACAAACAACTGATTATAAAAAAAAGGATGAAATTTTTTTAAAAAAACCGGAAAATAAAAGATATAATCTTTTCATCAGCCCACACGATTATATCCGCAAATATATATATNTCTTCAATTCCTACAATTAATTCACACTCTCCATTTATATATACAGGGTGGTCCTGAAATATATGTCAAAAATGTAAAGGTAGGTAGAGGGGACATAAATAAGCATATTTCGGATAGGAATGTGTGTGCGGCAATGGCACATTAAAGCACTAGCTTGTAAAGCAGTATGAATCAAAGGAAACTGAAAAGACAAGTAAAGACATAAAAAAATTCGACTCCTTACCGGCTCAAGGCGGTATTACCGTACACACAATCCTATACGAAATTTGCTTATCTAGGTCCCCTCTACCTACCTTTGCATTTTTGACATATATTTTAGGACCACCCTGTATGTAAAGCAAAAGGAAATAATACAATATATATATATATATATATATATTGTATTATTTTCTTTTGCTTTAAAAGCATATTAAATTAAATTTAANACAAGTATATTAAATAAATTTTCAGCACAAATAAAATATAATTAAACACGGGAATATAAAGCAGTTTATGGACTTCCAAACTTTACTTCTTTACGATGCCAAAACATTTTATTACTAAGTCTAATAAATTGAATTTTTCTCGCACTTCCGAATCTACATTCTTTTGCCTAAAGTCTTAATAAATGTACCCTTTTAATTAAAAGAAACTCTGATATTTAAGCTCTATCGTGCTTAATTTAATAATATATCAGCGCAAAATTAAGAAAAAATTAATTGCCTTGTTAACGCATTTATGAGCTTCATAAATTTGGCTGATATCCTAAGGAAACCACTTTGTATTCAGTTTTATTGTCAGACGTATAATTCATTTCCTCTTTATCCAGCCCTGGATTTTAGTATATAGCTTGTAGACATTTGGTATGGTAATGCGTTTTAAATGCTTATTACAAGGCGATGATATAAAGTTTTATCAGATAATAATTCACTCTTTAAAGCTAACGTTCATGATTTGTGTGTTGGAATTAATTTGTTTTAGCTATAAATATTTTAAAGGAAATTGACAATATCAACTCGTATTTTTAGCAATAAATAAATGTTATTTTTATGAATATGTAAATTTAACTAATGCTATGAATATATTGTAAAGATAATTCTGGTAAAATTACCGCACTGTATTGTTGTGACATTTTTGATTTCAAAAAAAATTAATTACTGTTAATATAGTCAAAATATACGGTATTTAAACCATTATTTAGTAATTTCTCCTTTTATATGGTCATAGTTTCCTGATAATTCTTGTTTTCACACATATAGTGTCTAGTATTATTTAGTAAAGTTAGACGAATAAATGATATTTATACCATTCTCTTAATCATCTACCAAAGCTTACCACATTTACCAACTTTTATCGCATATTATGAAACCATATTTTATTGTTAATTTTAATAAAATCATTGCCAAGTCACTTCGTTAAGAAATACAGATCATTTTGTTCTCATGGAACCAGAAACTTGGCACACACTACTATATTCTGGTAGTTTTTGCCATACTTGTCTTTTCAGTGTATCATATGCTTTTAAACACAATTGAAGTTTTTTTTAAAAAATGAAAACTTGTATTGAAATTAACGATTATTTAAAATAAATGCTTAGTATTTAGTATTTTTGTCTTTGTTATTATTTCTTTTTTCTGTTTAAATAATTATAATTTGATATTTAAGCATTTAGATAAAATATCCATCAATACAAATATATTATATTCGTATATACTCAAAATCATATGCTTTTAAACACAACTAAAGTTTTTTTTTTTTTCTAAACTTGCATTGAAATCAACGATTATTTAAAATAGTTGCTAAATATTTAGTACTTTTGTTTTTGTTATTATTTCTTTTTTCGATATTTAAGTATTTAGATAAAATATCTATCAATACAAATATATTATATTCGAATATACTCAAAATTATTAAAAAATAACAAATTTCATTTAATTGAAATAACGAAATTTAGCAAAATTAAGCCAGTAAAAACTTATAATTTTGAAAGTAAATTGTTAGTTCCGTAAAACCAGTAGAAACCAAAAATAATGGAATTCACAAGCTATTGACTAATGCCCTTTCTCCTACACACTATACAAATTGAATGAATGACGGCAAAGTCAGATTCGGCTATTTGAGTGCAAAAGCAGTTGGAATATTAGAAGCCATTAGTTTCGTAGTAATACTTGTGTCAGTTCCCATACAAATAAAAAGAGCTCAAAGCAGAAACAATTAGGAAAAAACTGGAAATTGTTATTAAAGTATTGATTTATGCTCAAAATGAATAGCTGAGCTTTAAACTCTCCTCAGAGATGTACTTTAGGAGCCTGCCATTTTGAATTTATTGAGAGAGTGGAATTTAGAATGTAAATCTTTAAAAAATACTCTCAAAACAAGTAAAGTATCATTTCCTGAATATTTTCCCCTCTGAAACTAATTAGATCTTATCAAATACGCGTCTGTAATTCTTAAAACGCGTCTGTAATTCTTATTTAAAGAAGTGATATATTAATGTCATGGATTTTTATGCAGAATTTGATTAAACTTGAGCACTGGATTATAGTCTTAATTCTTAATTTGCAAAGAATTTGAGTCGAAGAGTATTTCAATTTACAATTAGAGTAAGCCAACTTACATACATTTACATACAAAATCGCCGTAACTTCACAAGTGTAAACTCGATCTTCAATAATATAAACCATTTTATTTGCTTAAAAAAATATAATGATGGAAAAAATTATTTTTGGGCGCTTATTCTGAAAACTCGCAAGATGCAAGGGAAGGAAATTAAGCAGAGTTGAAACAGAAAATACTTTCCATAAGAAATTGAACAAAAATATAGGGTGTTTAGTAATGTAAATCTTGCCTAGCTAACATATTGGAAGCCGATAAACGTGATTTTATTTAATACTTAAAATGGCTTTCAATCTCCCTTTTTATTTCTTTTTGTTTGATAATTATACCACGGAATAAAATTGGTCATTACTTAAAATTAGTTAGAAATTAGCATTCTGCATTTCCTGGCGAAATTACTAGACGTACTATGAGATTTCGCCTCCTCTTTTCTTTCGTTTCGGACTCAATTCGTCACCCGACTCAATTTTCTTCTTTATGCGTCGTACGCTAGCTTCAGAAACCTTATATATTCGTTATATATAGCCGGTCAGGTGGCCGAGCGGTTAGCATGCCTAACTGCGAAGCCAATGGCTGCGGGTTCGAATCCCGCTCTGGGCATGGATGTTTCTCTCTATGTGCTGTCATCTGTTGAGTGTGATGTGTGAATATGGCCCACCATATGAACGGAGATTTGTGGCAGTGTGGCGTGAGTAATGTTGCTCGCCTCTGTGACCACTGGGTAACGTTAAATGAACAACACTTCCGGCATCTTCCAAGGTGAAGAACGAAAGTTCAGTACTTGCCATTATAGAAAAAAAATATTCGTGAGATTTCGTGGTTTGTAAATATTTTAGCATTCACGAGGACATTTACTTCGATTTTTTACATGTTGAAATATCGACTTTTTTTTACCCCTGATTAAAATGCTCCAATGGATTATTTCAATTCTGAACACAAGATAAACAAATAACTGCGTAGTATAAAACTACGAAACAAATAAACAGAGCGCATAAAGCCACAGAAACTCGTCCGCAACTGACGTATGCGAGAGCGCGACTGAAACTGGTTAGCATTTGTTTACGTTCGTGTATCAATTGGTTAACATTGTAATGTGATACGTTAAAAATAAATGCAAATGCAAAGTACATAAAAATAATCTCCTGAATAAAAACCCATGACATGCAGGTCTAAATGTAAAAATATTGCATAGAATAAACTTGTGCAAAACATGTAAGTATTAAAAAAAACTACAGTGCGTCGAATCATTTGTCCAAGAACTGTAATCATTTTATGAAACTAGTTGCTCCCAATATTAAATCTAATTCTTATTGCACATAATAGGAAAGTGTTTTCAATTTTTAAATAATAATTATCTGTAAATTATCTTCTTAGTTACACCGATCTGCAAAAGTGGCCAGCAGACAGTGTATGGTGCTATGCTGCATTTTCCGGTAGAGATTGCTTGCGAGGTTGAAGCTGATCCAGACGATGTGTCCTTCAGATGGGAGTTTAATAGCTCATTTGGAACACTTGAGTTAGAACCCACCATTACAAGTGGCAGGAAAAGTGTCGTCCATTACATTCCCAGATCTGAACAGGACTTTGGAACGCTCTCGTGCTGGGGAAGAAACAGAGTTGGACTTCAGCGGATGCCTTGTCTCTTCGTTGTCATCCCTGCAGGTATTGGGCTGGTGGGTTTGACTAAATCGGCAAGGAATAAATGTAAAGTTGCTAATCGACAAATAGAAAATTTGCCTGTTAAATGAATGCATGATAATGAATTGATTAATTATTTTATTAAAAAGCTAAAAGCTTACAGACAAATTATCAAGTTTAAATAATTCATTTTACAGTTTTTTGAGTATATCAACATTTCATGGTTTTAATGAATGCAGATATAAACTGTTGTTTTTGCTTTTTAAATAGTTCATTAGTATAAATTTAAAGTTTCCTTTCTTTTAGTTTAATAGCTCATTCAGAACTCTTGAGTAGGTGCTCACCAGTACAAGTGGCCAGATAATTGCAGCCCTTTACCTTCTCAGATTTGATCATGACTATAGAACACTTCTGTGCTGGAAAAAAACGCAAAGTTTATTTTAGAAAAATAGGATATACCTTTTTTCAAATTTTAAAATACTTTCGATATTGAAATTTTTCGTAATTTTATCATTATACATTAGAGCTTGACTTAACATCAATTTATTCGGTTTAATTTACTTTCCAGCTTTGGATTTTTATTGAATGTATAGAAACAAGAACTAGAATTCAAAAAAACAGAATTTCCAGCAAACCGTTACTATACGAACAGGAAAATTACTCAATGAATAGTTTAAAAATACCGTATATTTTGGTTTTATGAGCAGAATAATAGTTTTCGAATAACCAGAAATATCATTACTCTATTACTGAACTTTTACCAGAATGTTTTCGCCTGACTTTGTATTTGAAACCCCTTAACACAAGTAAATAATCATTTTGATTTAACCCCTCGAACTTTAAGATTGGATATCAGTAGATGTGGTGAATATTCAATTTTTATTTCAAAACTTTTTTTCAAAGTTTATTTTTCTCTGTTATTTATATAAATATGTTTATCTTTAACTGATCATAATATTCATACTTTACAGAACCGCCATCTGCCGTCCACAACTGCACCATCGGCCAAGAGACAGAGTATTTTTTCCGAGTGTCCTGTTACGAAGGCAAAGACGGTGGCCTTAACCAATACTTTCAATCTGAAGTGAGAGGACCAGACTCTACTCTACTCTTTAACCTCACTTCCCAGACAGCAGACTTCGCAGTGCGAGGATTAAGTCCGGGTACTATTTATACACTAACCATGTATGCAGTGAATGCAAAGGGTCGTAGCACTCCCCTCATCATTAAAGCATCAACGCTTTCTACACCTGAGAGTCAAACAAGAAGAGGTGAGTTATATTTGACTCATAAGTTTTTAAGCGGTACGAACGACAATGCCTACGACAAGTATATTCAGTTATTTGGATATAGCATGCAAATCAGCATTCTATATTAGATTCCATAATTTTTTATCACACTGTTAGAAATTTTTTGGAAAATAATGGTTAAATAATAATTTATTGAAATGTTATTTTAAGAGACTTAATCTAAACTGTCAAATAATCATAAATAAGATGGTATTCAAACTGTTAACTGTGGAAAAAAAAAACTTTATTAACTGATTTAATTTAATCGAACTAGAATTTGACCACACCAACTAGGCTCACCAAAGGAAGCCACTTAGTCCCTTAAAGATAGGTACACATCACAGTCGAAAGCAAAAATCTGTCAATATCATGACTGGCAGGATGAGAGCCCGAGTCCTAGAGCTGGTACCACAATATTTCCTCCATTCCCTTGAATACACGAAGAGTTTCCAGTGTCTTGCACTCCCCAATATGCAACTCTTGGCTATTAGAATAAGATACTCTCATTCACGCATGGAACCACCATAAAACTGCTAAACTATCCTCAATTCCCTATTAATTTTTTACGACTTTGAAACTATGTTCGTTGTAAATGGTCAAAAACAAAACTGGTTTTACTTTTATCAGATTTTTTTCTCCGTGTAAACTGATGGAAGCTATTATTCATCAGGTTCAGTTGTCAAAAAAACTACATTTTTTTTCGTAGTTTACTTCTACGAAAACAAATTTGTTACAAATGTTGTTTACTACAATTCCACCTTTTTTTTAATGTAGTGACTACGAACTACTTTGGAATCGTAGTAACAACTTCACTACTTTAAGGAGACGAACTTTGCTTCAGAACTTAATTTGCACCAATGTTCAAAATGATTTTGAGTTAAAAATTGACTTACATTAAATGTAAGGAAATAATTAAGGAATATTTACTCAAGTTTACATGGACCAGTTTGTTATCCCGAAGAAAAATCAAATTTATTCATTTAAACTTTCACTTTTCGTACCTTTTTAGACAGCGAATATTTATTTTAAGAAATGAGGAATTGACAAATACTTGCAATTTTTCAATTGTTTGATGCTCTTTTACTTTCTGAATCAAAGAAATTAAGTAAATACCTCAAAGAGATCATGTACATCGAAAATGCGTCCCTTCCTTTTAAATAACATCAATGTTTCAGTGTGCATTCCCATGAGAAAGTGTGGCGAAAGTGATTAAATATCTATTTTTCGTAATTACTGGTTACTAGTGTTATTAGTTACTAATTATTAGTAATACGTTATTGTAAATACGCAATTCCTGCTAACCCTCAGCTACAGCCTCAGCGTCAATTTCATTGCATCCATTGACGGTCTCTCGAAGATTTGCACCCGTCAAATTCGTTCAGTTAGAACCATTTCTTTTCGAAACTAACGTTAAAAAGAGTCACCATGAATCGCTACAAACTACCGTTTTTTTTTGTGTCACACAACGCACTGCACTGGTTTTTTCTTTAAAAAAAACACACTACACTAAAAACTGTGAAAAAGTAGCGACTGCAGTTGTTTCACTACTTGTAGTGCGCTGAGTCCGACCACTGATCAGGTAGGTAGGTACTTTATTTACGTCACACTAGAGCTGCACTATGGGCTATTGGCAGCTGTCTGGGAAACATCCGTGCTGATGATACGAAGACATGCAACCACAATTTTGATCCTCTGCAGCCCCTGATTTGGTAGTCCGATGACATACGCGTGAAATTGAGCTCTTTATGGCCGAACAATTTAACGAGGAGCGATACCGCGCACCCTCGGTCCCTACACTAGATGATTAAAATGGTCACCCACCCACTTACTGACCGCAGGTAGTGATGCTTGACTTCGGTATTCTACGGGGAACCATATCTTTACGATTAGTCCACTGTGGGACATCATTGTTTAGGTTCAAGACGAAGGTTAAAGAACGTGGATTATAAAACCGTAATACGCAGGAACATGAATTTCATAAATAATTAAACACTATAATAATTTAAAGATAGTGATTTTTGTAACTGCAAAATTTTATTATAAACGTGAATAAAAATTATTATGGAATATAAACTGCTCAAAACAATTAAGGAACATTCAGGTTGTGAGTTGACCTTGCACCTTGAAAATTGTTTGAATGATTGATACACTATTGACAGGCGTAGTAGGCTATAGGAGAAAAAAATGACATTTGTTTGACAGATAAAAATGCGTTTTATTGAGTATTTGATTACAAAAGGAAAAAAAAACGTAATTTGTGCAGATGAGAAAAACAAATAAAAAAAAAGGTTTTTTCCTTAAAGGAAAATCGTTTTTTGGGGGGAGGGTATGGTTTTCCTGGACAGTCTGCAATGTGGAACAACTTTGAGGCATCAAGTCAATCAGGTTATTAATAAAGAGCTGGGGTATTCTGTCCCATTCCTCCAGTAGAGCTCATTCCAGTTCTCGAAGAGTTTGTGGGGTTGGTAGACGTCCAGCAATTCGTTTACCTAGAATGTCCCAAACATGCTCGATTGGGTTCATGTCTGGAGAACAAGCTGGCCAATCCATTCGTATGATTTCTTTCTCCTAAAGGAATTTATTCACCAAGTTAGCAAGATGTGACCTGCAATTATTGTCTATTAACATGAAGTCATCTCCAATTGCTGCAGTGTAAGAGACTACAATTAGTCTCAGGATCTCATCCCTATATCTGTCTTCATTGATGTACGTCCACGCCCTTGCCCTGATCTTCGGCCTGCATTACCAGTCTCCAAAAATGGTTCCAGATCCTGGAAGTAATACACTTTGTGAAACTCCAATGGCCTCTGCTAGTTTAGTTTGTGTTTGCCCCCCCCCCTCTAACCGATCAACAACTCTCCAAGCTTCTGATTCGGTTAAATGACTTCGTTGAGCCATCGCACGAAGCAACGCTCATACTGAATTCCGATCATTCTTTTCTGCTTTGTCTTACATTAAGTTGAAAGCCAACTCAAATTCGCTGCGGCTAAAGCGTCGTCTCCGACGTCAAACTCATAATTTGCTTACTGCGAAGTTTGAAAATAAGAAAAATTTGCATTTCTGATCTTCTTCCATTTCATGCAACAAAAAAATACACAAAAAATTGTAAATACCATTATTTTATACAAGACTTACAATATCCCTTAATTGTTCTGAGCAGTTAATTTTAGATAGGGTATGTTCCATTTATCTTCGATTTTTCAGTCCATTTCAATAAAAATACTGTTTCAAAAAGAATTCCATGTTCATATAAGACAGCTGAGCTTCGGAGCTTCCAATAATTTTTTTTTTCTAACCCAATAGAAACAAAAAAATACATTTATTAGAATTTTTTTTTAAAAAATGTGAATTAACGAAACCCAGCGAAAGATTTTATTTTTATGTATTTGTCTGCTCTTTTTATTTTAATTTTTTCTTCGTGTCTTATATGAAGAAATATTTTTAATCATTTTGTGCGTCATTTTTATATGACATTTTTTTATAACAAAAATACTGTTTCAAAAAGAATTCCATGTTCATATAAGACAGCTGTGCTTCGGAGCTTCCAAGAATTTTTTTCTAACCCAATAGAAACAAAAAAATACATTTATTAGAAATTTTTTTAAAAAGTGTGAATCAACGAAACCCAGCGAAAGATTTTATTTTTATGTATTTGTCTGCTCTTTTTATTTTAATTTTTTCTTCGTATCTTATATGAGGAAATATTTTTAATCATTTTGTGCGTCATTTTTATATTAAATCATATATCTTATAAATTGCAATATTCAGATTTTTGAATGCAAACACTTTATGATACAAATTTTGCCGGAAAAAAGTTTTTTTTTTGCTATCTTGTTAGTATTACGCTTTTAAAATATGTTCCATTTGGGTTTATTTATAACATAGTTATTAAAATCTTTTATGTTCTATGATATAATATATAAGAGTACATAAATAGTAATAGCTTTAGGAATGAAAATTTTAAAATACAAATATTGCTATACAGGTAATCTGCAAAAGTTAATTAAATACTTTAAATCTCTTAAAGTTTAGTACTAGTTAAGTTAACCAAGAACAGATGAATTATTCATAGAAAATTTATGTGAAATATATATTAACTAATAATGCTTTATCTAAAGTATAATTGTATAATTATGAGCAATTTTAATCATGGTCGAAAATTTTAATTATTCATTTATCAATTTTAATGAACTTAACTAGTTTTGAATTGTAATCCGCCTCAGAGCCAGAATACATCTTGATAATCAATGATTAATGTGTTCCTCTTATCAGATTTTGCAAATCTTTTTCGAATTATTTAATGCAGAACTTTTAAGCAATATATGCGAGGAAAGTGTAAACACTCATTAAGCAATCTAGCGTTAGAAACGAAGCTTTTTTGTATAAAATGTACCATTCCATTCAAGTAATTGATACTAGATATAACAAATATCTGAAGCCATAGCAAAATTATATAAATAAAGTATTAAGAGCTATAAAAAATTTTAAAATCATAAAATCAACAAAACATGCAAATATTTTTCGAGTAAATAGAAAATGTAAATGCATAGATTTTAAAAACAGGAAATTTTTTCTTCACATTTTATTTAAATTTGCAATACGTGAGAAAGATTATACAAATATTGTACAATTACAAATATGACAGTTGATAAAATTTATTAACAGCAAATGTAAATGCACAGATTTTAAAAACAGTACACTTTTTCTTTACATTTTAATTAAACTTGCATTGAAAATTATTACAAATATTTTCAACAAATAGGTGAGAAAGTTATTACAAATATTGTAATAAAACATGTTCATCACAGTTTTAAAAACAAAATAATAAAATTAGCTTATTAATTGATTTTACTACAATAACTCTTTTATTTCTTATAATAACATAAAGAAGTTAAGTTTTTTCCACCTTCATTCATTTAAGAGTGAATTAGACATTTTGTTTCCATAGCATATACAATTTGTGTGATAATGTAATTTTGGGG